GTGGATGAGAGAGAGAGAGGAACTCAACGCAACTGTTCAAGATTAAAGGAAAGCACACGTCACTCACTTAGTGGAGCTTGGCCTCTGTAGTAACACTATCAGCACGAATGGCGATCATTCTCCATCGCTGTTGATGGAATTTGGCCAAGGCGAGACATATAGTCGACTGTAATCACCATTTGTAATCTCAACGCCATCTATTCCCTATTTCCATCCGCCACACATCTTTTAAAGAACATGCCCTACCATATTCACTCGCACTTTCTACCTGAATTTTCGTAATAAAAATCTATGTAGACAACAGAGTCTATATAAGATAATTTTCGTGTACCTAATTCCAAAATCTGGGTCTTATCTTTTTAAATTCTTCTACTTTTGTGAGCCAGTGATTTATATACGCCAGTCGCGTTTCAGAGGTTCGAAACCCATAGTCACGTTGTCATTAGTGACTATCAAATAATGAAAGGTTTCCCGATGGGAAAGTTCAAGAGAGAATTGAAAATAGTTGGGTTATTCGGCTGTACTTATTCCAAACATCTGCCTATTACTTACTTACAGCCAAGCAAATCACTCACATAACTTGAGAAAATATAGCGATCATTTTAAGTTAAAGACCTTAATCCTTCTTTCGATAGGATCTGAGTGACTGTACTTAGACTACCTATGTAGCACATAGCCAGAAAATCAGCATCAAACATATAAGATTTCGGGAATTGCAGGGATTAAATTTAATAATAAGAGAGCAAGCACTCTGCAGAAATGTTAACAAAATAGAACTTGTATCGTCTAATGAGAAAATATGTAAAATAGAAAGCAAGAAAAAGATAAATGCTTTTCCATTTATTTTAAGAAAATTTATCACAAAGTGTACATTGAACAAATAAGTTAGAATAAGCATATGTAATGATACAACAATTTCTTTGACAATAAAACTTCATGTACAAAAATAAATGGATACAAGTCTAAGAATTCACGGCCTCACATTGATCAATCCAGTCATTATATACATCAATTGCTTGACTCAGAGAATTAATAGAGGTTTGATAATCCTCGAGGCAAATAGCGCACTTCACGTAACCAATTCTCTTTTCCCTATCTCTAAGAAAAAATAAAAAGATGCAATGCAATTACTTACATTTCAACTTCACATGAACGTTCATGATTGCAAAATGGGCAGTTAAATTGCTTCGGTAAAGGTTCAATAACTTTGGCCTTAGCGGGCGGCTTGCGAGAGCTCTTTCTCCTACCCATAGCTTTGCTGTGAATGAGACCTTGGGTCGGACCCTGCTCTTTTAAAACAAATTCCCATTCTGACAAAAAATAAACAATCATTATTTTAAACTTGATTATTAATTTGATTATAAAATGATTTAATTTTTTAAATGTAGATTGTACAATCTTTAATTTATATTTTAATAAGTTACCTTCTCCTGTCACAAATATAGATATTTATGGACTTGACACAAAGAAAATAAAATTTATAAACTTATACGCTATTTTACTTTTTTGCGCTTCAATCAAATAGTGCTTGATTTATCGTGCGAGAATCAATGCTGCGTCTATCTGTTATTTTTAAAAAAACTGGAAAGTTAATTCAGTTTCCCTATAAAATCTGGGCTTTTTATTTCCTTTATTGTTTTGACATCAATTAATGGTCCAAAAATATCTCTTTAGCGGAGCATCTTTCAATCGGCACATGTCTCCTCAACTGCATACCCAATTGCTTTGGTTTACTATAATCCACATATTGGGTGCCGTGATTCAGACCCATTCGTAATTTTATTTATTTATTACCAATGGCAGGCGTTTCGATAGTTATCATTAGCCCTTTAATTGACTTCAGGCGTCACAGAGGGGAAGGAACATTAAAGTGACAAAATTCGAGGGGGGGGGAGACAGAAAGTGATTCACGGACGTAAAAGAGACAGACAAAAGATAGAAAAGGGTGAGGTGAGTACGGTTGAAGTAGTCGAATTTGACATACAGTGGGGTGTTGGTAGTTTGGAGTCTGAATTCAACTGCCGGTTAATAGACTTTTTACCGTATGAGTATACGTTGCCCAGGGTGCACCACGTGGAGGTAAGTCTATCACACACCCCAACATTATAAAAATCGATTTGGTTGATTAAACATGCAGTGAGCTGTAGTTCTTCGGCTTCTTGATTAGTTACTTTGTTCTGGAAGTGAAAATACAGGGTTGATGCACAGGTTGCATTTTGACAAGTTGTGTTGCCATTTAACGGTATTCAAATAGACTTCATCACTTTTGAGAAAAAAAGCTTATAAAATAAAACAACTTGACATGTGTGATATTGCTTGTGAGTGTTTATTGAACTTTTATTCTGTTCTCCATTGAGTATTTCTTCAGATCATTCTGAACTGATAGGTGAAAGTTGGATTTAATAAATAAATCAACAAGCATTTCTGCGCTTAAATAAACTCCAACCGTCACAAATGCCCGCTTGCACTAACTTTAGCTATGCCTAGTTGGACCGCAGTCCATTTACTTTTGTTCCTATTATGCCTTCATTCCGTCTCAATGGTAAGTCTCATGAACATATATTGGAAGCAGAGAAGTGCTTAAATTTTGTGGAGTTCAGTAAATGATTGCGTTTTCTGTTCTAGTAGAATGGGAGGGGGTACCGAAGTCTAGGGATGTTTGGTTGTTTCTTAGGAACATAAATACTCTAGAGCATCTATGTTTGAACACCAAGGAAAGCCTGTTTTTCGGGGAGGCTATTGCTTGGTTTTTTGACTTGTGTGGCATTCAGTATTCCCAATTTCCAGTGACCAACTGCTTCCAATTGAGTAACTATTTATTTGAGGCAAGTAAAAGAGATACCATTCCATTCACTAATTTTAAGTATTCAATTTTGGCAATAGTTTTGATCCTTAAGCAGAAACAAGTGTAAAGGCCCTGTTTAATAAAAGGGTATAATGATTGAACCTACATTCGCATCATTATTACGGTCCTACAATGAATTATTGATTATTTATAAGACAATGACACTGAATATCGTTTATATCCGTTCACAGGTGAGTAAGAAATGATATTGTGGCTGAATAAAATCCCGTGCCTGGTAGTGAGTCTAATGAAATTAGTTGAAGGGCTAATACTGTGGGCATTTGTTTTTGGACCCCCCCTTTGAATGCATTTTGGAATTTAATATAATTAAACTTTGGTGAAAAATAGATCCATTGTCTCGAGTCGGTATCTCTGGCATTCAGGATACAATCAAACATAGGACTGATTTTTAAAGGCAGATATGAGAATAGTATCGTATTCTAAGTATGTGATCATTACCAATTTGTCTGCTTTAAATTTTTTCCGTGCCATGACTGTTTGTCTTGTTTGGGGTGCATATTAGTACACTTGCCGCCTTATTTTCCATGCCAATAGACGTACATACACGTGGTGCACCCTGGCCAACGTATATTCATACGGCCTAAAAGCCTATTAACCGGCTGTTGACTTCAAACTACCATGACTCTACTGTATGTCATGTTTGACCACCTCCACAGTACTCACCTTGCCTTACCCTTTTCCCTACCTTTGTGCCTGTCTCTATTTTATCTGTGTATCATTTTTCTGTTCCCCACATGACCTTTTGTGACTTTGTTGTTCCTCCCCTTTGTGAAGTCCCAAGTCAACTAAAGGGCTAATGATAACCATCATAAAGCCTGCCATTTGATATAAATAAAGTTTCCATGTCGAAGAAGCATTATGATCTTACATGCGTTTCAATTATCGATATGAACTTATCATTTCGGAATTCAATAAAATGATCTATCTCAAGTGAAATGTGTGATAGTTAATCAGCGCAGTCGGCTGCCTGCACAAATTTTCTATTATCTAATTGGCTGTTTAATAACCAATAGTTACATTTGCGAAAATAAGCTAACCAATGGGAATACAGACTAAGCCATATATGCGTTTATGAATCATTGTATGGGGAAAAATATGTTTAGCCTTTAATGAACCGAACAAGCCTCTCAGAAACTTATCGGTACCCCAATCCATCTCAACCTGCAGATCGCACGTTCCAGCACATTTAAGCATCAATGATTTGGCAATAAAACACAACAATAAGGTAAAAATGCATGAAAGTAATTTGGTCAAAATATTGATGCTCTTATGAAATTTGTTATATATTT